TCGGCGATCTAACGGAGTTCCGGCAATGTTGTCGTCATGATGGAAGGATGGATGCATCATGTTGGTCCTCTAAGGATATGTTTGGAAGTAAGGGTTTGGAGGAAGACCCGAGAGAGGCAGTGACCGGGTGAGGAGGGTTCAGTTCTTGTTTGGGAGTTTGAGAAATGGGGAGGATTAGTGTTTTCGAAGGTTTTTGTGACCCTAAAACTACTCAAATGCTCAATGTTTATGTTCCTCAAATTGAGGTTTTGAAGTATAACTAAGTAAATGAAAATTTAAGTTTAATTTAAAATGGGATAAGGGTCAGTTTGGTCCTCGAAGTTGCAAAAAAGGGGGTCAAATAAGTCCTTATATAGAAAATTCTGTCCGGACGTGCCATTTGAGGTGGCTCCCGGTGGAATTTTTTGATGAAATTTTTTGAGCATCTTATTCATTAAGTCTAGTTTACTCATACCAAATTTCAGATAAAAATTCAATCGGGAAGACATTCAAATGAATTCTTGAAGATAACTGTGCCGTTAAAAGCGCAGTTATCTTCAAGAATTCATTTGAATGTCTCCCCGATTGAATTTTTAGCTGAAATTTGGTATGACTAAACTAGATTTAATGAATAAGATGCTCAAAAAATTTCATCAAAAAATTCTACCGGGAGCCACCTCAAATGGCACGTCTGTACAGAATTTTCTATATGAAGACTTATTTGACCCCTTTTTTGCAATTTCGAGGACCAAACTGACCCTTTACTCAATTTAAAATGAATATTAGTTCAATTATTGAATTCATCATATCTCACAAGTAATTTTAATCTAAGTTTCAAAAAACTCTTTCTAAATTAGAAGATTTTCCTCACCTTGCACTCTCATTCCCCTCCAACAATTTACCTTCAAAGTCTTTCCTTTGTATATCTTCCCCCCAAACTCCCAAATATACCCTGAGACTTCTTGAGGCGACAATAGAGACTCTTCTAATCTTTGTTTCAGTTCATTTCTTTTGTTACTAATTTGAGGAGAGGAAAGTGAAATAATTTTAATTACTTATCTATAGCTTCAATGTAAATTTAAATGATAATATTATTTGAGATGGATAAATAAGAAAAGTTTGCAAGGGTTTGAGTGAAAGAGGAAAATGTGTTATGAATATTCTTTTTCTGGTAATAACATCTTCGTATACGAACTACACACTGTGAAACAAAAATGTTCCGTGTAGGAATAAGCATGACTAAAATAAAGCGTAGCAAACAGTCTAGACATATCCCGCGGCCAGTTTGAAGCGGAATCATAACTGAACCGGCAGTTCCTGATTCTTAAAACTATGAAATCGGAATCAGAACCTTATAGTACCAGTTCTAGGCGGTTCGGAACCTACTTAGGAGCCTAACAAAGTGACACCGGTGACATAGCACTATAGTAGCTTTGCTGGAGGAAATAAGTGATTGGAAGTGACAAACATTAGCTAACAAAGATGGAAAAAGTATGATGGAAGGATAAAATTAATTAGATGACTAGCTAAAAAGAACCTTTTCCATCTTGACTGGAAAACCCTACCAAATAATTGTTTGCTTAGAGCAATTGTTTCAACTATTCTGGTCCAACATAAGTGCAAGTATATTCAGCTTATTCTCCACGATTTTGCTACCCCTTTGGTCTGCCACTACACGCCAAAAACTCTTAATTTCTTGACAATTTGAAAAATTATAGTTGTGAAACTTAATTAATCCGGTTGAAAAATATTAGTCCTGGAATCATCTTGCATCATATTAGTCCTTGAAAAATATATATGTATATCTATATTTATATTTATGCATCACAATGTTGTGTATAAATATAGGTAAAAATTTACACTTGACTGTAGCACAAAAAATTATGTTTTGAATAAATATGTTGTGTATAAATATGTTTACAACAATTATTTACACAATGTTGTGTATAAATATGTTATGTATTTAAAAAAACAAATTTTAGCTTCTTAAAATAAAAATTATTCCTCTCACTTAATGCACATTTCAGTTTCACTTAATGCACATTCAATTTCACAGAATACAATCTAACGGTCCAGATTCATTCTCATTTCTTATCTAAGATCATTTTCTCACGTGAACCTAATTCTTTGACTAATTATATATAGATAATCTAAACTTTTGACCAGCTAAATTAAGCGTTTGGTAAATAGCTGTTTAAATAGCCGTTTCATGACTTCATCCAAGAAGCTGATTTTCCAACATACATTCTGGTAGCGGTGTTTCCTCTTGGCTTTTTCGTTTTTTTAATTTTCTTTTGTTTTCATTCCATTATTACAACATTAGGTGCAAATTTTGTTTAGTTTCTTCCGTAAATATTTGGTCTCCCATATTGAATGGTGAAAAAGTTATATTTAAGAACTATATATATTTATGACTCAAATAAAAGTAATTTACAAAAATATGACTTCTTAAATGTATTAGAACTATAGTAGTAACTTTAAGGGATAAGTACAAAAAAATGATTGTGGTGCATTTCCAAATAGGGGTTTGGGGTTCATTTTTACAAAGTGGAGCCCTGTGTTTTCAATCTGTTAGCACCATAAGCCATGAGCCTCTGTCTAAACTCTGTCAAGAAGAAGGTAACGCGTCACTTTTTTTATACATTCACATCGCCTTGTTTTTTAAAGTGGTGTCCCACTTTATGAAGAAAAAACTCCAGACATCTATTTAAAAATGCTCATAATCACAAGTACGTTTTTTGTACTTATCCATTAGTTGATCGCCTTATTTACATATTCTACTATTCACGCGGTATATTTTCTTGCCACTCACACCGGTGTGCCAATACCCCGCCTTTTAGAGCCCACGTACTTGTATTTGTGAATCCTATATTCGTGTAAGAGAATACTATTTTCAAGTTCCAAATGGGCGAAATGCCGCATGTCCATAATTATTGACCATTAGTCGTATTACTGGCTCTTTGCCGTTTTTGGTCCTATGTTAATTACACGTACACTAATGGCTCCCACAATATGCTTTCCCATGGTTGTGTGTGTCATTATCGATCATCAACCATTATTGCACCAAAATGACCTTTTGTTTTGGCAGCTCTTGTATCACTCACCACTATGATTATATTATTATTGGAGAAAGAGAAAGAGATGCATATATGGCCCTATAATCCCACAATTGTGGTATGTTCTGGTCAAGGTTCTCCCCTGAGTGGAATGATTCTTTTAGATAGTTTAATTTGAATGATTTACAACAAATTTGTCTATGCTTCCACTAAATTTGAATTGCCTCATTATAGAATCCTTAGGTTTGTCCAAGGTCGACTCTCCAACCCAAGGGCCCCCGGCCACGCCCCGACCCGACAGAGCATGTGGGAGATTGTAAATTACGGTGACTTAATCAATTCTAACGGTGGTAGATCTTATGCTCGTGCGCAACAAAAGCTCAGTCCATCACATATAAGCTGTGATCTCCACACGGTCACTGCGGGTTTCGATCCTTGGTCATTTGTCCAATTTTCTCACCGCTTTACCAGCTGAGCTACCCGTGCGGGTATAGAATCGTTAAGTGATCTATAGGAATGTCCATATCAAAGACAAATTTTAAAAACTATACGAACTTTTTAACGTAGTTGATGAAAACAAAACGTAATTTGTGATCATACAGAAAATACTACAGTTGGGAAGCCTTAGAGAGAAGATTTGAATAAGCTTTTCCCACCATTAGTCACCATTGATTTCATTGCATAAAATGTTATTCAGCACGCAATGTGTAACAAATCAAGTGTTCAATAAATACAAGTACACAAACTCAATATACATTGTGATATAATGTATCATGATGATGATAATAAAATTGTTACTAAAAGCAAACGTATCAAAACAACATTTATCATTTGTCATGAAACAAAGATTTTCCTATCATAATCAGTAAAATATAAATTCATCAAGTAATAAATAAAGATCTGAATCCGATCGACCTTCTAATCTAATTAAAATAAGATTTAAAATAACTAAATAAGTAATAAAAGTATGAGGAATTGAACAACACTTTAGTCATGCAGCCATGGACATAGCTAGGGGGTCAACCTAGGCCCGATCCAGCTCAAATTTGAAACATGTCTAAAATATTAGGATAATATATTTTGGGGTTTAAAAAATCATAATTTTTTTGCACGCAGCATGTGTACAAAATATTAGTTTAGTTTTACTTAATGACAAATTCAATCGTGTAAGCAATAAATTTGTCTACAATATTTTTTCACTAGAATGTGTAAATTCTTCTGAACATGGGCGAAAATATTAGTTATACGGGAGAATGAACAAGTGAATAAAAGTGTAAAACTACATGAGTTGTACCCCTCTGTCCTGCTAAGATTGTCTCGCGTTTTTTTTGAAAGCTCACTAAGATTGTCACATATCAAATTTGGTAAAGTTTGTGTGGTTCTAAATCATTTTTTGGTTACTCTTACTTTATCAATTCAAAATCTACCACATAAACTCACTTTTCTTAATAATTGTGACACCCTCTTATGTTCCAATATTAGTGGGACAGAGGTAGGGTTGGTTTGCAATTGCTTTTAAAAAAGCACTTCTCAGCTTTTGGCTTTAAAAAAGCACTTATTTTCCCAAACACTACAACTTTTATTTTTCTCGGCTTCCGCGTCAAAAGTGCTTTTACTTTTTCTATTACACAAAAAGCACTTATTTTACCAAACATTACCCACTTTTACTTTTCAAAATCACTTTTTTCTCAAACACTATCAACTTTTATTTAATCACTTCTCCCCATTTCATTAAAAAAAGCACTTTTTTAAAAGCAGAAGCTGTTGCAAACAGACCCGTAGTAGCACACAAATACACAACTAATAATGAGATATTGTAGGTTGATACGTATGAGAATTACCCTCCTTTTGAAAAAGAAATACAATACGTAATATGTATACACAGTAACATATATACAATATAGTACAACTTTTTGAACATATAGCTAGTAAATGCACTACTAATTGCTTCTACTATACTACTTGATTAACGCCATGGGATGGGATGAGTGTATAAATAGCTTGCATCTTTCACCTCTAAGCCTCAGGAAAGGCACAAAAGCTTCTAAAGTTTTGGGTGTTTTCCTCTCCTCACTGCATTTCATCAAAGAAAACTGTGGTTTTCTCTTTGCTTCCCAGTCCTACCTTTTGAGCTCAGTTCATCTCTTGAAACTAGTTAAGAAGTGACTAATTCATAACCATGGAAGGAAAAGGTTCCCCCGGGAGTTTCTTCGAAAACGCCAAGCCTTACATAGCTATGATCTCCTTGCAATTTGGGTATGCTGGAATGAACATAATCACCAAAGTGTCCCTCAACAGGGGTATGAGCCATTATGTTTTGGTTGTCTACAGGCATGCCATTGCCACTGCTATAATTGCTCCCTTTGCTCTTATTCTTGAAAGGTATACTTTAGTTTCTGATCTTCCAAAAAAGAACCTTAATCCTTTCAAATAATAGTTACCTAGTACTAATAATAAATGGTGTTGTATCATTGTAATTCTGCTGCAGGAAGGTGAGGCCAAAGATGACATTCCCAATTTTCATGCAAATATTTGTGTTGGGTCTACTAGGGTGAGTTTCTCTATATATTTATCCAATTCTGAACTGTTCAATATAACGAGTCAAGGACTAATCTGTACCATAGCTATAGTATGCTGAAATTCGTGTCAATTAGATCAACTTTCTTCAAAAAAGAGTTCATTTTTAGCTCACCTCAATATCTCTTTCATCATAGTTCAGCTACTCCTCATCCAGCCCAATATACATGGTGCATACTAAATTTCTCCAGTTTAGAAAGTTAGTAGACACTTGTCACTATTATGATAGTAATATATTCATATTGGAGTTGTACTCTTGTACATCAGATAGGAGGACAGTTAAGTGAAAAGTACAATTTAGTGGACACTAAGCACTTTATAGGGACATATTCTTAATGGGAGTTGTAACTTTGTACACACTATCATAGGAGAATGCAATAGATTACATCTAATAGATAATCTTTTCTCTTGAAATTTTGTCAGGCCAGTGATTGATCAAAACTTCTACTATGCCGGACTGAAGTTCACATCCCCAACTTTCTCATGTGCGATGAGCAACATGCTCCCTGCAATGACATTTGTGATGGCTGTTCTGTGCAGGTACGATTAATATGCGACGAAGAGTTTCAGTATAATTTAAAGATGGAACCTCGGGTCTTAACATTTACGTGTTCTGGTTTGCAGGATGGAGAAGGTGGACATAAAGAGGGTGAGATGTCTAGCAAAGGTGGTGGGAACTATATTGACAGTGGGAGGAGCCATGTTGATGACATTGTACAAAGGGAATGTCATTAATTTCTTTTGGACATCCCACATCCAACCTAGGAACTCTAGTGCTCCTCAAACATCTGCTGGTTCTGACAAGGATTGGCTCAAAGGATCCATTCTCCTCATTCTGGCTACTTTTGCTTGGGCCTCTTTCTTCATCATTCAGGTCTATAGCCAGGCTGTTTTGTGCTTTTCCTTTTGTTAATTTTTGTAAAAGTAGTCACTAAAAGTGGAAATGTTGCATTTTTTTGCTTTGGGTCAGGCTGTTACACTAAAGAAATACACAGCACAACTTTCCCTCACAGCTTTGGTATGCTTCTTGGGTACTTTGCAATCCATTGCTGTCACTTTTGCAATGGAGCACAAGGCCTCAGTTTGGACCATTGGCTGGGACATGAACCTTCTTGCTGCCGCCTATGCTGTGAGTACACTCTCTCCAAACAAGTTACTACTTTGAGTTTTGGGTTAAAGCTAATTAACTTTGGTCGTTAGTTTTCCATAAATATGGTAATTCATAATATGAAAATATTTTTGAATTTTATGATATAATTTAGGGTTTTTTACAAGAATATCACTAAAATAAAACATATTTACATAAATATGACTATTCATTACTATAATGTGGTGTCGTGGTAACTTAAACTCAAAACTTGAACATGAATTACTATGATTTCATTACTACTTTAGTCACTAATCACATTTTCGTAAATCATCTTTATTTTGGTCATATTTATGTAATTATTTCTATAATTTACTTCCTCCGTTCCCATTTAGGTGCAAGGGATTGAATTTCACGTTTACAAATATATAAAAATAATTTTAAATAATTTAATGAATGATTCGTAAAATATATGATTGAAAATTGATATTTTAAAGTGATTAAACATGTACTTCAAGTTAACAAAGATTTACGGAGTACGTAATAATATTTTCTTAATATATACTTCATGATAAATAAAATATGATAAGAAGTGTTTAAATAAGGCAAGAAGTCACACTATCACAACAAATAAAGAATAGATGTAGTTCTTCATTAATTCACTTTAATCATTCCACTTTTTTTTATGGAACTTTTCTATTACTTGTTCAGTTGTTCCACGTACTATATCTTTTTGTGAACTTTTTCTATATTTTTGTTTTAAAAATTATCTTTCCTCCCTCAACTTTGTCTACTCTTTCATATTTTCTATTCTACTATTTCTAAATTATTTATTATCACTACAAATTTACTCTTATATTACATGATAATATTGAAAAACCATATAAGCGTGTGTTTGGGATGAATCAACCTAGTTATTAGGTAACTAAGGAATGATTTTAACAAAAATGGATGATAATGTGTTACACATCAAATTTCAGGGAATTGTGTCATCAAGCCTTGCATACTATGTCCAAGGTAAAGTGATGCAGAAGAGGGGTCCTGTTTTTGCTACAGCTTTTAGTCCATTGATGATGGTCATTGTTGCTGTCTTGGGATCATTTCTTCTTGCTGAGAAAATCTATACTGGAAGGTAGATTTCACTCCCTTTCTAGTTAATCCTCTTATAAAACTGTATCTTGAAAGGTAAACTTTTTATATTTATGGGTATTGAATTAATTATGCTTCTACTTCTTTTAAAAAAGCAAAAGTAGAATGAAAATCAGTTTTTCGGCACCTGATCTCCCCACTTCACAAAAACTGTTTCTAACTGAAATTTGGGGCACTTAGATAGTTAAATGTACTTCTACTGCACTTCCATCCAAACATTCCAAATCTTGAATATCTATATCTATTTCTTCTCCTTGAAGGAGCGGAAACAATTTTAAGAAGCACGTCCAAACACCGCTTTATGCAGTGGAATGGCCTAAAAACTTATTAAAAATGCTAAATAATTGAAGCCTTTAATGGGTCTTTAACAATCTTTCTATGTTTCCATAATCTTTTCTTTTTGTTTGAATTCAGTGTAATGGGTGCTGTGCTGATTGTCTTCGGGCTATACGCGGTTTTGTGGGGAAAGTACAAGGAATACAAAGAGAAGTGTATGATGGAGGCCATGGAAGAACCAGTGAAAATCCAGAACAGGAAGATGGTGGTGGTGGTGATCGAAAAAGATTGTGTTTTGGAGAAAGATTTGGAAATGCAGAAAACCGATAATCCTCCTGAGCCACAGCCTGCGGTGGCAACTTCCCAGGCTGCTTGCTGCATTTAACTATTCTTATGAGTTATGGTTACAAGAATGGAAATAAAAGAGAATGGAGTTTAATATAGAAGTAGCTAAGAGCAGAGGAAAGCTAGAAGGGCATTTTCGTCCTCATGACTTTCTGTTTTTTTTGTAGTTTTTTATTTTGCTTCCCCATGGGTATATCGCAATGAGATGGTATGTAACATTTTATTAGAGCTAAAGTTTAATTAAAAAATAATTTATTTCAAACACCATATCTCGCACTATTATATCAGAAATAATGGTGTGTGTGTTAATAAAATTAAGACGGTGGAAAAGATGTGATGACTAAAACATGTCATATATGTATAGAGAAAGAAAATTTCAATTCAATTAAAAATATCATGCATATTAAATTAATGGTATGTTCAATTATTTGTTTACTTGTTCTTCACAAGTAGAATTTTTTATTTTGGAAAAAAGGGTCAAATAAGGTTTTTTACTATTATGAAATTGGTTTTTTACTATTATGAAATTGTTACATAAGGTCATGTACTCAATAAAATGCCATATAGATAAGTCTACTTATTTACCTTTTCAAAATAAGGTTGACGTAAAATATTTACCCAAGATTGGCTTTAATACAAGGCAAAAATATCGACACGTTAGCTAAAATCGGGATTAAGAGGTTGTCAACGAGTTGTTAGGACTCATATGATTGCTTTATTTTTTTTACTCCAGGGGGTCTGGGGGAGGGGGCCTAGGGGCCTGGAGTAATCAGGCCTGAAACTCACTCCATTGAGTTTCAAACCCTTATGTGTCTAGCGGGATTCGAACTCAAGACCTCCCACTAGGCACGGTAACCTCACAACCAGCTGGGTTGGAATGCTTGGTTGATTGCTTTTTATAAGTAGATGTATTTAGGGCCCATGTATTTATAATTTTATATGACACTTTATCGCATACATGATATTATGTGATGGTTCTATAATAGTATAAGGCTTTATTTGATCTTTTTCTCTTTATTTTGTTAATTCTCAAGATGAGTTTCTTCGTTAGAGATTATTTAATTTTTAAATTTTAGAAAAAATTGATAAGAATAATTCCGCATTTTATAGATTTTCTCATAGTAATCTCACAATTACGTAAATCCAGAATAGTTTCACATTTGCACTTCATCTTCTTTCATTCGACCATAGGTTGATGATGTACTATACCAGGTTTTTGTCATTTCTTTGGAAACTTTACATAAATAATCTCATCTTTCACAAATCTGCTAAAAACACTATCATGTTTCATTTTTTCTTTTTTCTCCCTAAAACCTTTCTTTCATTATTTTTATTCCTAAACACTTTTTATTCCTTTTTCCATCCTTTTTTTCTTATTTATTTCTCATATTTATTATTCTATTTCTCACTCTATTAAAAGAGTTTTATTGTACAATTTCCTTCCCAATTAGATTTTTTTTGTCATTTTCTTTTTCCCGGTGTATTTTTATTTCATTTCCCTTTTTATGTTTTCTTCTTAATAATTCTCTTTTTACTAAAGATTTTTTTCTCACTCTACTTTTTGTTATACTTTCTTTTTATTTTCACTTTCCCCCTTTTTTCTTCTTGTCACTTTTAAATGCTTTTTCTTCTGTCTTCTTTTCTTTCATCTTATGATCTCAATTCCACCATCAATATATTTTTCTCCTATCCTTATTATTTTTTTTTTCTAAGTAATCCACCCATTAATTTTATCAATTGTGGAAAAATTCTATGTGATAAAAAGAATAAAATAAAAATTAAAGAAAAAAACATTCGGAAAATGTAAATAAAAATAAAACAATCGGGAAAATGTAATTTTATTTTCACGAATGTTTTATTTCTCTTTCAGTTTTATTTTTCCTTAGTCTTTTCGTGACATAGAGTTTTTCCCATAGTTGATGGAATTAATCAGTGGACTTACTTAGAAACATACGATAATGCTGAAAGAAGAAAAATATATTGATGGTGGAATTAAGATAACAAGAAGAAAGAAGAAAAAATATAAAAAAGTAACAAAAAGGAAAAGGGGGGAAAGTGAAAATAAACTGAAAATATAACAAAACATAGAGTGGAAAAAAGATATTTAATAAAAAGAGAATGATTAAGAAGAGAAATATAAAAATGGAAATGAAATAAAAAAAAAATATGGGAAGAAAAAAGAAAATGAAAAAATCTGGTTTTGATGAAAATTGTACAAAAATAACTCTCTTAATAGAGTGAGAAATAGAATAATAAATATGAAAAAGTAATAAGAACAAAAAGTATGGAAAAAGGAATTAAAAAGGAGGTAAGTGTCAGATTGGTACTCAAAATTGCATAAAAAGGGTCAAATAAGTCCTTATATAGGAGGCTTTGTTCGGCCGTCGCCATTTGGGCGGTTCCCGGTGGAATTTTTTGATGAATTTTTTTGAACATCTTATTCATTAAGACTAGTTTACTCATACCAAATTTTAGCTAAAACTTCAATCAGGAAGGCATTCAAATGAATTCTTGAAGATAACTGCGCTTTTAACTGACTAGTGATAAAAATAAAGGAACAAAAACTTAAAGGAAGAAAATGAAACATGGGACTGTTTTGAGCATATTTGTGAACGGTGAGGTTATTTATGTAAGTTTTTCAAGCAAAAGACAAAAACACTTGTATAATAGGTCATCAACCGGTCAAATGAAAGAAGATAGTGTGCATAGGTGAGATATTTTGAAATTACGTAAATTTGAAATTATTATGAGAAGATCGGTCAAAAGTGAAATTATTCTTATCATTTTATCCTTAATTTTTTTGGAAGAATTTTTTCCTTAATTTTATTGTTTATAGAAGTGTAAAATCGTATGTTTTGGATACTTGGACGTTTGGTGCTTCTTTTATATAGAAATTATAGTTATGTCGATTAAAATAATGTTCTGTAGTATATTTGATGATTTGTCATTAAAAAAAAAACTAAGTTTGTTAAAGCTAAGATATTTTTGGATAGAAAGTTAAGTTGCTTCAAATAATTACATCTCTATGTAATCGTAGATTTGAGCTCATTTAAAATAATCCCTAGATGGAAAATAGGGACAACCATTATACGATGGAAAATTACAGATTACACCATATTTATTTAACATTCATATAGACAAAAAACGTACAAATACAGACACTTTCGATAAGATTGTCGGTGTGAGTAAAATTACTTTTCAGATCTGTTAGACTGGTTGCACGAAAACCCATGTCAGTGTACATAGACATTAGTTGTCTGTGCAGACAAAAAAGTGCCGGTGTGAACAAAATTAGTTTGCAAGTCTGTCAGGGGGTTGGGAAACCAGTGTCGTTGTACACAGACATTAGTTGTCTTTGTAGAAAAAAGTGTCTGTACATATACAATTTTCGTCTGTGTACATAGACACTGAAAGAAAACCAGTGTCGGTGTGCATAAAACGTAAATACGTAATAAGAGAAAATTAATGAAAAAGAAGAAGATGAAGATGATGAACAACAATGATTCAAAGGAGTCGTTTCTAAACTTAGCTAATACGGAGTACAACGTAAAAAGAAATTAAAGAAAAAGAGACAAGAAAGGAAAAAGAAGAAGAAAATGATGATGGGGGAGAAAGGAAGGAAGAAAGAAGAACAAGATGATGAAGAAGAAAGAGAGGGGGTTCGTATGCGATAGCCGATAGAGTAGTACTTTTTTGTCTATTTTTCTTTTTTTGTGTTTTACAACAATTGCCTGCATGCCCTAGTTCATTATAATCATTTTAAATAGATTGGAGATTGATGGTTGTCCTGTTTTAGTTTGGCGGGATTATTAATAAAGTTATAATAAAATAAAAGTTGTGATTGAAATGAGTAGAATAAAGTGAAATGATAAAGACAACATATTTTTGTCATTAAAAGAAACAGAACATTTATTTTTGAATAACCCAAATAAAGGAAAGTAGGACAACCAAAAAAAGAAGGGAGGAAGTATATATCACATAAGCCCATGTACTGTAACATAAATAGACTTACTTTGAAAACACAATGATTTCAACCAATTTGACCTTCTATAGCTCGTAATTATTTTTTTAAAAAATAAGGAAATTATTAAATTTAAAAAAAAAACATACAAACTTGAAAAAATAATGTAGTAATAATTTACAAAATGGTAAAAATGAAAGGAAAAAAGATCAATAATTTAAAATGTTAAAAAAAACTGAAAATGAGAAAAAAGTGAATATGTAAAAAAATATTAAATTAAAATCTAAAAACTTTTAAAAAGATCTAGAATAAAAAATATTCTAGAAAATGCCAAAATATCGAGTTTGACATTCTTAAATTTTTCAGAGATTTTATTTATATTTATTCAAATTCTAACACTTTTTAGAATTCTTTAATAACAAATTCTAGAGATTAAAAACTGATTCAGTGATTGGAATGAACTATTTTTTAAATTAAGCAGATTTCGATTATGTTTTTTAGTACAGGGTTTAAGCGAAAATTGTAAAAATCGAATGTCGGTTACGGTTATCCATTTAGAAACTCTAGCAAAACTCCCAGATCCAAACGAAATCAGAGAAAAGATTTATCCATTCATCTTTCATATTTAAGGTGAATTAAGTTTTATTTTGTGTTGAAAAAACAAAAACAAAAAAAGAATTGATAAAAACCAAACTTTGCAGGCCAGTCCTTTCGTAGTTCACAAGCTGGGTCTCTGAATATTTTTGTGTGATTTGTCTTTAATTTTATCTTCCAGGAAGTTCTTTCATTCAATTCATAGGCGGTTGTATATATATATAACTGAATTGGTTGCTTAATTGTGTGATTGTCCCATTGAGTAAAATAAAATAAATAGTCCGTTCACTTTTTAAGAGCTTCTTTATTTATTTAACTATAATAAAATCCAATAAACGATCAAATAAACTTCCTATTGAGCTAGTATACTAATATGACTAGGAGAGGGTTATGTGGCTTTATCATTTTATTAGGAAAGTCCATATACAGAAAAATCATTTATTTAACACTCACTACACATCATAAAACTTCCTAATTCCAAATGTTGCGTAAATGTGCATATATATTGATGTACATGCTACGTACGAACATAATAAGAATTAATTACGATTAATTCATTCCTTCCAGTTTACAAATAGATTTCTCTTCGAACAGACATGTCAGGGTTCTATCAGCCTTCATGGAGTGCTTCAAGGAAGGGTCGTCGTCTCCCTCCACAAGAACTACTCGACCATCTTTGCGGTCGTCGGTTTGTTCTGGATTTTCCAGAAGAAGATCAACAGTCGTTTGAGAGGATCCGTATGATGTTTCTAGTGGAGCAAGCACACTGGTGTTATGAAGACAATTACGTTGACAACAATCCATCATTGAAGTCTTTCACTCTTAAGGAATTTGCATCTCTGTTATGTAACAGTTGTGAGGTTTTAAAACCATATGCTTCCCATATCGATGACATTTTCAAAGAGTTCACCTCATATAAGCGTCGAGTTCCTGTTGCGGGGGCCATAATCCTGGACGAAACTTGTGAGCGGTGTTTGCTAGTGAAGGGTTGGAAAGGATCAAGATGGAGTTTCCCTCGTGGGAAAAAGAACCGAGATGAAGAAGATCATGCATGTGCTATTAGAGAGGTTTTGGAGGAAACGGGGTTTGACATGTCAAAACTCCTTAAAAAGGAAGTGTACATTGAAATGACGCTTGGTCAGCAAAGAGTGCGGCTCTACATAATCACCGGAGTGAAAAGTGATACAGTCTTTGCACCGCTTACAAAAAAGGAGATTAGTGAAATTGCTTGGCATCGACTTGATGAGCTCCAGCCAGGGAAATGTGATGTCGCATCTCGTACTTGCCGTGGCCTCAATCTTTTTGGGGTTGCTCCATTTCTAATGTCTTTAAAAGCATGGATTTCTGCCCACCGGCCTCCAGTAACACCTAAACCTGCGAGATGCTTGATAGGAAGTAGCGTGTGGAGGGCCAGAGGTCGAAGCAGAACATTTTTTGAAGGGGGATTTAAGCATAAAGAGTATGGCCTTGCTTGGTAATAAAATGTTAGGAGTTAGATGGTTGAATTAACTGTTTTGAAAAAATAGATGTTTGTAATTCGTTTTTAGAATGCAAAACTTCACCCAAAGTATGTACGAATTTGTTCAACACATTCTTATTTTTAAATATTAAATTCTTGTTATTATTTAATTTGAGTGGCATACTGGCATATACGGAGTATCATTTATATATAGTACTGCATACTAATTAGTACGATGTGTGTTAAGAAGGTAAATGTACTTGTGGTAAAAATTAAATACTCCGTATATGATAACTCAATTTATATATCACATACTTATCGACTAACTATATGAAAAAAAAAATAACTATATGAAATACTTAAGTATAGATAAATATTTTGATAAAAGGTATTTAGTTTCACAAATTAGATTTATATCGTTCTTTCTTTATTTTCGGGAGTATTCTAATGATAACTTTTCACCAACTTAAAACTTTGTGGGGGGAAACTGTAATATTTAAGATATGAGTAGCGTTAATTCTCAAAAAAAAATATGAGTGGCGTTAACACTTATACATTTGTATAATTGTATATATAGGCTCATCCTAGTTCCAAAAGTAGTGGGAATGTGGGAACAGGGGTGATAATTTAGACATGGACCCGGTCTGGTCCGGTCGGCCCGGGAACCGGACCAGCCCGCTACTGTGCGGGACCGGCCCGAACCGGGAACCGGTTCGGGGCCTAGGCCCGGCCCGATGGGGTAAGGGTGGGCAATTCCAGTGTAGGCCTGGACTCGGGCCGGGCGGCCTGTCCCGGAACCGGCCCGAACCGGTTACTGTTTGAACCGGCCCGGCCAAGGACCGGTCCGGGTAGGCCCGACCCGCTGGGGTTCCGGTCCGGGCTCGAGCCTCTCAAAATGTGAACCGGCCCGGCCGGTTCGGGCCCGGTCCGGGCCACTTTTTTTTTCTTTTTTGAATTTTTTTAAAATTTTTGGGTTGGGCTGGGTATTTTGGGCCATTTGAGGGGGTTTGGGGTGGTTTGGGGGTGAGGGGGGAGGGTTGGGGGTTAATTAGGAAAAGCCAAAAAAATGAATCCCGGCCCGACCCGGCCGGGGGTTACCCGGGCCGGTTCCGGGCCTCCCCTTTCATGAACCGAGGCCCGGCCGGGCCCAGGCTCGAACCGGCCCGAGTCCACCCCTATTCCAGTGCAAGGGAAAGGTGAACCGGCCCGGCCAAGGAAAAGTATATGTATGTGCTATATATAGATAAGTTATATATTAATTACGAGTATTGTACTCATTATATTATTGCAAACTATAAGTGAATGTGGATCTTGGCCAATGATGGTGAAAACATGAAAACAATCTACAAAAAGTTATGGGGTTATGTCTAAAATAATACTCCGTACTAAAAAAAGAGCTATGGACAAAAAAGATACCGTTTTTTCTATTTTCCAAAAATGAGACTAAAAATGAGTTAGGAGACTATTATACCCTTATTTTAATATAATATCACCCATTAATGCTACAGTAACGCCACAAACCAATAACCCGAAATAATGAATTGAGTTCGTATCGGCATTTTCGATGCTGCTATTGAAATAGCTTTTTTAGCAATATTTTTTGTTACTCCACCCATTTCAAAAAGGATCCGACCGGGTTTAACAACAGCTCGGCCCAATCATTTGCAAATCCCAATAAGAAAACAGAACCTGGACTTGAAAAATATCTCAGAACTATACTGATAGATAGGTCAAAAAATAAAAAATTTGACTGGATTCCTTATTTGACGGGGATTGTAGTTCAATTGGTCAGAGCACCGCCCTGTCAAGGCGGAAGCTGCGGGTTCGAGTGACCAAATCCGCCAGTGACCAAAAATCATTTGTGACCAAAAATCCCAAAATCCGTCTGTGACCAAAATCATTAGTGACCAAAAATTCTACCTAGTTACCAACGTCAACCCGTCCAGTGACCAACATCCGCTAGTCCAATTACCTGACCTGTCCAGTAATCCAGTTACAGTTACCCAATCATCCAGTTATAGTTACTCGACTCGTCCAGTTAATGTTACCTGACCCGTCCAGTTACAATGACCTAATCCGTCCATTTACAGTTACCCAACCTGATCAGTGACCAATTCAACCTGTGACCATGACCAATCCGACCAGTGACCAACCCGTCCAGTTACCATGACCAATTTAACCAGTTACCATGACCAATTCGATGAGTGACCAAACCAATTAGTGATCATGACCAATTTGACTAGTGACCATTGACCAACACGCCCACCGCCGCCCTCGACGGCCGCCATCACTGACCACCACTGTGCTCGAGCACCACCCAGCCCAATGACGGCCGTTGCTGCCCCTGCCCCCCACCTACACCCTCCTAATCCCCCTCCCCTACACCAGCCCCTACACCAGCCACTGCCCTGTCCCGCCCCACCCCTACACCAGCCCCCTCCCCTGCACCAGCCCTCCCCCCTCCCAACGCCCCGTGCCCAGCACATTTCACAACCCTAGCCGCTGGAGAAACTGGATCGAGCCCGTCGTTCGCCGTCCTCGTCGTCAATCTCTAATGGTCACTCGTCGCCAGCCATTGCAAGTCGTCGTCACCCCTCGCCAGCCATCGCCAGCCATCGCTAGTCGCAAGTCGTCTCCGCCCGTCTGCGATGGTAGCCATTGCAATTTGCAAGTCGTCGTCACCCCCGCGCAAGTCGTCCCCTGCGCCCCGTATACAGCTTCCCCTCCACTATCGAAACCAACGTGTATTGAATAATGGTTTGCTAGTTTTCTTTCATCTTGTACTATTTGACTATTTGTGTTACACTAATACCTATATATCATTTTGTATTCATGTTGTACATATTGATTCTGTGTATATGAAATTTTATTTTTCAAATAATGTATTCATGTTGTAATGTGGGAAGTTAACGGTCCGGACCGGCTTGGTTCACCGCTAATTGCGACAAATATATGTTTCTTTCAGCAGTAACTTACTTGACAATGTTTCTAATCTAAAAAATAGATCCAATTAAATATCTCTGTTAAAATAATGCTACATAATGTTAAATGTTCTAAAATTGATTTTTTTTTTGGGAAATATTATATTTGTACTACGCAATACTGAGTAACAATTAACTGTCCATTTTTTCAACTTCACACCTGAGAATGCTATGGACAGGAATAGGAGTGGGTTTCTAAATGGACTAAAAACTGACCTACGTGAGTATGAAAATCATGATATGCCCCTCACCCATTTCATCCATCACCTCTCACCGTCTTTGTAGTCTCACGCAAAATCAATCCAGCGGACCACAATCTCTCGCGCCAAAATCGGCTCCATCGACCTGAGCCGCTCGCCGCCTCTGTAGCCTCACGCCGCTTGCCGCTCCCCACCCCATACTTGTCCTAGTTTAAAAAATACCCCCAACTTTATTTATTTAAAGTTTTTAAAGCATATTTTAATTAACAAATAATATTTCTCAAATTAAAACATGTTAAACAGATTTAGTTAGCAAAAAAAAAGTTGCGTGATTCCCCAAAAAATGTGTGCTTTCTTAGATGGTTTAGTAGGATATGGGACATAAATATCTCAATTTTACAAAGTATGAGATATTTGTACAATGTAGACAAGTTTAGGGTGGGGATATCATAAAGTTTAGGATAGTTTATTTATTTTCCCATAAGTAGACATCGATTACTTTGATTTGGACGTTGAAGTAAAAGAAAAATGGAAAATTGACGATATTCAATTATATGGATTGAAATATTGTGAATTATTTGCCGGAGTCGTTAATAACATTTCTATGTTGAAAAAGGAATATGTATACTAATACTTCAATTTGGCATAGAAGTAAAAAATAGTCTGACATTAGTATCTATTATGTAAAGAATATTCAAGTGTCTATAGATTTTCACAACTTAAACATACGCTTTCGTCACTTAAAAGTAGACAAGTGATATAAATTGATATAGATTGTGCTTACAGATAACTCAATAATTGACCAATCTTACATGTACACAATGACCAATTCTGGTTGTTAATTTGTTATTTGACATCTCTTTGATAAACTAGGTTCGTCCATGTAAAATCCACTTAGATTTGGTGCGAGTTCTAAAGAAACAAAGGATAGTGGTTGGTAAGAAGTACGTAGTATATATGAAAGAGTAAAATGGGTTAACAAAAAGTTAAATGTGAAATGACAGATAAAATGACTAAGTGTGATAGTGAAGGATCCGGAAACAAGGATCAGGAAACGGGACTATTGGGAGCACACCAAAAATGACAAGTGGCGGCTTTCCTTAACTGTGTTTAACTCCAGCAATATTTTGAAAATTATTTTTAACCCAGCAGTATTTAGGAAATTATTTATTTAATCAGCATTATTGTGGGAAAAACTCATTATTATCTCCCTCCTACTAACTTTGGGACATGAAAAGGTGGTACGCTTGTTAAGAAAACTAAGTCTATGTGGTTGCTATTGGATTGATAAATTAAAAAATAAAGTAAAAATGATTTAGTACCGCACAAACTTCACTAAAATGGGTATGAGATCATCTTAGTTGGACAGACCAAAAAGGAAAAATAAGAATTTCTTAACGAGACAGAGGGAGTACAATATTTAAAAGAAAAACTAAAAAGTGTAATTAATTCTTTGATAACTAATATTGTATGCTCTTTTGTGAATTTGTAGAGCAAGACGCCATTGTTTCGCGTAGGGGCGGAGCCAGGAATTTGGTTCGGCAGGGTCGAAAACTAAACGCATAACAATTTTTAATTTTGAGAAAAAACACCAAAAATATTATATTAAAAGATCATGAGCCAAGAGTTTATAATAAAAGAAGAACAGTGCGGCCGACCGGCTGTCTCCTGTGGCCTGTGCGGCTATCCGGGCTTGTGGAAAGCGGCGGATTAGCTTTGCTGTGCGACCTGGGCAAAATCACGCAGAAGGGAAGGGGTTTGCTTAGGGGTGGGCAAAAATAGTGAAAAATTGGTATACCGCACTTACCGTACCGAAAAATCCTGA